AGGTACCATTTAACCTGATTTGGAAGATCTATCCACTCACCCCTCCTCCTACAGCCCAGCCGGCAATTATATAAGAGCACAGAGCAAAATCCGGATCAGCTCCATAGCAGTCACTGACTCCACTTGGCAGCACGCTTCCATTGCCACAGGCATATACCAGGATGTGGTGCACTAGTGTTTCATTTTGGGGTGTGATTATGGCCTCAAACTATGGACATAAAAAAAGACAAGGTCAGACCAGATAGAAGATACTAGCAAATGAAAAGCTCTTACAGTCTGGGAGGAGGGTAACTGTCAAGCTCACCAGCAGAGCAGATAAATGTAACCCTGCTTGATTTTCCAGTTACCTTATAGATATGATGTTTTGTCTTGACCATGGGTAGTGGGAGAAAGGTACAGGCATAGGTGGTGTCATCCAGTGGGACAGGAAACTGAAAAGGGAAGCCAAACACATGGTAAATATCTCAGGCCTGAGAACTCTCATCTCAAAATAGATTTGCATTGCTCTGTGTATCCTATGGTCACCAGAGTGAAGGGCCAATGAATGAAAGAGAATAGTCTGCTGGGGACCATTGAAGGCTATGGAATGGAAAGAGCTTTCCATCAAGAGCCTTCAATTTTAGATACTTACATCATTTAGTGTCAAATCGTAGGTATAATAGACCTTGGGATTGTTCATTTCCTCTTCAGTTGCCACCAGCATCAAGAAGAGAGATTTGTGGGCTATTTTTCCTTTGAAGAAGTCAACCGTGTCATTTGTGCCAAAGGCAGCCATGAGGCGTTGTGTGTCACCCTGTGTAGGCACAAATGAAAAAGAAAGTCCTCTGTCCTATCACACATCCCTGGATGTTCAGCTTCACCGGCAGCCCCAAGGGAGTAACCTTCCTAATTTTCAACATGCTGGAGCTCTTGTTTGTTTACTACTGCAATTGTCTATCTCACCAGATATCTTATACGAATCTTGACACCAATTCATACTAATATTCTTACAGATAAGTATGATTACATTCCTTTGTGACCTTTGTTCTTCCAACATGGGCTTTATTTATGGTGAATTAGCAAGCAATAAGCAAGTCATCCGCCCTAGTTCAGACGCTGATTCTGAGCATGGGCAACTATATGAACAATATTTAGACTTGAATTTTTGTGGAGATTAAGGCAGTTGGTCATCTTCTGAAAGCGCCCCAAGCACAGAACTGAACTGTTGGGGACGGAGAGTTTGCTGAAACAGCGGTCAGTTTCTGAAACAAACATTTAAGAAGTGCCAATATTAGTTCCAAAGGAGTCAGTCATATTTAGGCATTATGGCAGGAATGCCTTTGGGTGCTTAGATCAGAAGTTCCCCAACCTGGTGCCCTCCATGTGTGTTGGACCTGCTACTCCTAGGATTCCTAGCCCAGCCTGCCCAACAGCTGGGAATCATAACTTCAGTGCATACACAGGTACTCAGGCAGATTTATGGACCTTCTCACTTGGGAGACTAAAGAAACACAAGGAAACCACAGGAAAAAAACATTTGATGACACTGTAGTGCTCCCCTGTGAAATTGATAGCATGGCATATGTGCAGCATCCCAAATTTTCAGTAACAACCCATTTTGTTTAATAACTCACTGGAGAATCAGCTTAACTTTTAATCAGTTAATCAGTTAATTAATTTAACTGAAGGCTTTCCAGTTTGGTTGACCTCAGATTGCATATTCAATATTTTGATCCTTCCAATGCTAGTGTTAAAGCCCACACTGATTCCTCAATACTTCCTTTATTTGTATTTCACTTATGTTATACAGGTAGTCCTCGCTGAACAACTGTTTGTTTAATGATGGTTCAAAGTTACAACATCCTCGGAAAATGAGATTTAAGACCTGTATTCACACAACTGTTGCAAACCATCACACCACCCCCGCGGTCACGTGATCATGATTTGTGATCCTTTTTATGACACCTGTTAAGCAAATCACCATGGTTGTTAAGGGAATCATGTGGCCATTAAGCAAATTCTAGCAAAAAAATCCATTGGGGAAGCTGGATTTCTTTAACGATCATGTGATTTGCTTAATGGCCGCATAATTCACTTAACAACTATTGTAAAAATAGTAAAATTGGGTCCAGTCACTTGATGACTCACTTAACAACCACCCCACTTAACAACCAATTTGCAGTCCCTATTGTGGTCATTAAGCGAGGACTACCTGTACCATTATGTTTCTCAAGCCCAAAAGTTACTTGGCACACATATGGCACACATGCTAGATAATATGAAAATGTAGCTCAGAACATTTAAATGAACCTGGGCTACTTAAGTGCTTGAATTCATTCACCCTTAGGAATCTTGGAAGTCCTTTTCTGCAGAAAACAGAAACGTGCGTCACCATTGCATGAGACTTGCCTTTGCCTAAAGAGAAGTCTGGGAGGGTAGCAACAGCCCTTCACAACTTCAAGGAAGTGGTGATTATTGTCTGTGGAAGACCTGGGGGTCCTTGTGCTGCTTTTGAGAAGACAATTATCCCTGCTGCTCTCTGTGAAAATAATTGCCCCCCGCACCAATGTCCCAGTCCTTCCATGGATTGCCTATTATCTTTTGCTGCTCGGTGATTTCTTGGCAGCAACTGGAGCCCATGTTCTCATTTAGATGGAAGAGCCTGGTGGGCATTTTATTCCCTTACCCTTTTTAGGGATAAGGGTAGGGATCATAACCATTGATCCCCTCTCCTTCCATTGTTTGGGTTCCCAGCCATCCACATGCATGGAAACCCCTTTAACCAATGTATTCCTTCTTTCCATTGTAAAGAAAATAAGATTGCCATTTCATTTCATGGTTTTTAAATATAAATCAGCAAATACAACTACAACTAAAGTAAGAGCTAGCAGATCAAGTGACAATACTCCAAAGTAGGTTAAATGAATAACAAGGATTTTGGCCAGCACCAAGAAGGAAACAGCATTGACATCTTGTGTGGGGACATCAAGGCACATCTTCTAGTTAAGCGTGACTGTTGCTGACCTCATAGACATGCCTGTGGAGCTTTCTTGACAACAGCACTGTACTGAGGCTGATTTCCTATTGTCTCCTTCTGGGATGATTGTTGATATCGTTAGAATTTCCTGGTGCTCTCCTACCCAAGTACTAACCAGACCCTGCTTAGCGTTTCCAGATCAGCCCAAATCAGCTAGGTGTTATCATCTAGCTGGGTCACAATTGAGCTTCTATAGCCCAAATGTCTTTTTTCCTAATTTGTACCCACTTCACTTCTGATAAGAGACAGCGATATCAGAAGAGGACTGAAGGCCTTGGTTGGGTTGGTATGGAAGCAAAGAATTGCCCCAAGTTAAACACCAGCACTTAGGAGACACGATGAAGTTGCACAATGCAACTTGGAAAGGGTGTCTGTGTGGGTGTGGGAGGGATGTGATCAAGTCTCAGATTTCTAGCTGTTTTGTGCAGTAGTGGAAGGTTGTTTGAAGTCTTTTACCTGCCTTGCCAGTGGCAAAGAGATGGAGCGGAGATACGGGGCCTGCAGGCACAATCCATCCATATGTTTTCATGCCTTGAAGACAGCTACCTGCATCTGCAAGGCGGAGTCTCCAAGGAGCCCTCTCCCCTCTGCCAACATTTCATTTTAAGTGTGTTCTCAGATTTTGAATAGGCTTCTAAAGATTATTACACTGCAACTTTTACTGCATTTTGATAGCACTGCATAAGATGTTTCAGTCATTATTTGTGTTATGTTCTAACTCCCATCCCCTTTGTGAGCTAACATCTGGACAGCAAAGAAACCCTTGAAATGCTGCTTGTTTCAATAGGAAGGAAAAGCACATCTTTTAGGCTCTCCCGGTGCAACAAGTAAAGGCAGTTCACGCCTGGTGGCAGCAAATTCTTGCTGCTTTGTGTCCTTCGTGTTCATGCCCTTGCTTATGCATTTGGCATTTGGTGCCATTGTCTTGATTACCGTGATGTCCAGGTCATGCTCATCACATGTCCGGAATGGTCGCCTGAATGCCATGGTGGTGGAAGTGGCATTCTGGGTCAAGGACAGCAGCTCATAATCTTGACTCTCATCTTCCAAGATGGTATCCTCGTTCACGCCATGCCAGTCCTGAGTGAGACAGGAAGAACTCA